ACCCCCTGCTCCCAGCAGCCCTCAGTCAGAGCAAGAAGCAGCCAGGTAAGTTGCAGAGCCCCCCCAGCCCCCCAGCCCAAAACAGTCCAGTGGCACCTTTAAGACCAAGTTTTATTCAGGTACAAGCTCTCCCTCCTCTGCAAGGACAGATCTGCACGTTCCCCCCCCACAATAGCTAGCAATCCAAAAAAGTCTAGTGGTGGGTGTTGCCTTCTGACACACTTCCGGTGATGTCAGGGTGTGTGGCATATGCAAATAAGTTATGCTAATGAGTTATGCTAATGAGCTCCTGCACCTCTTTTTCTACAAAATGACCCCTGTACTTAAATATGCAATAAGGACCCTAGTGTAGCTTATTAATGATAGTACATTGATAACTAAAGCCTAAAAAGCAATATATATCTTGTAGAAAAGTCCACAGTTATAAAGCTACAAAGATGGAAATGCAGACAGGATTCAATGCAAATTATTTTTCCTGGAAACAAAGCTCACAGCCAGAGAAGCCTTCTACAGAGTTGTTTGACTTGTGCATTGTACCATTGTGAGCTTTGGTTCCAGGAAAAATAATTTGCCTGAAGAAGAACTTCTCAAAACACACAACTTTTTGCCTGGGAGGCGTGTCGCATTGATGCTTGCTGCATCTCTTTTCAGAGAGCAAAACAGCTTACGATACTGGCATTGTTGACTGCTGCATCTCTCATCTGAAAGCAAGATAGTCTACAGCATTGAATCCTGTCTGCATATTCGTCTCTGTAGCTGTGGACTTTTCTACAAGATATATATTGTTCTTTAGGTTTTTGTTATCAATGTACTATAATTAATAAGATACACCAGGGTCTTTATTGTATATTTAAGTATATGACTTAAACAAATACATGAAGGCATAGTAGCATACAGGGGTCATTTCCTGCGGGAGCACACAGGAGCGGAGCTCCGGCAGTAAGGAGCCCAGGGGGCACATGCAACAAGCCCCGCCCCCTGCTCCCAGCAGCCCTCAGTTGGGCCACGAGGAGCAAGAAGCAGCCAGGTAAGTTGCAGAGCCCCCCCCCCGGCCCGCCTTCAGGTACAAGCTCTCCCTCCTCTGCGAGGAGAGATCTGCATCCAAAACAGTCCAGTGGAGCCTGAGCGGTGGGTATTGCCTTCTGACACACTTCCGGTGATGCCAGGGGGTGTGGTATTTGCAAATAAGTTATGCTAATGAGTTATGCTAATGTGCTCCTGCACCTCTTTTTCTACGGAATGACCCCTGGTAGCATATTAGAATTGTGTGTTTTGTTTGAACACGGTGTTTTTCTACGTTTACTCAACCTACAGGAGGGGCCAGGAGATCTCCCGCTATTACAACTGGTCTCCGGACAACAAGGATCAGCTTCCCTGGAAAAAAGATGGCTGCTTTGGAAGGTGGACTCTATGGCATTGTACTCTGCTGAGGACCCGCCCCTCCACAAACCCCAGCCTCCCCAGGCTCCACCCCCAAATCTCCAGGTATTTTCCAAGCCAGAGCTGGCAACCCTAAATTCTTCCGTCCCACCAAACTGGCATCTAGGGTTTCCAGCTTCCAGGTAACACCTGGAGATCACCCACTATTACAGTTGATTTCCAGCCGACCAAGATCAGTTCCCCTGGAGGAAACAGCCGCTTTAGAGGGTGGGCTCTGTGGCATTATATCCTGCGGAGGTCCCTCCCATCCCATCCCAAACCCCGCCCTTCCCTGGCTCCACCCCCAAAATCTATTTCCCAACCCAGAGCTGGCCTCCCTTCAGTAGCACCAGGGGTCATTTCCTGCAGGAGTGCACAGGAGTGCACAGGAGCGGAGCTCCGGCAGTAAAGTGCCCAGGGGGCGGGCACATGCAACAAGTCCCACCCCCTGCTCCCAGCAACCCTCAGTCAGAGGAAGAAGCAGCCAGGTAAGTTGCAGAGCTCCACCCAGCCCCCCGGTCCAAAACAGTCCAGTGGCACCTTTAAGACCAAGTTTTGTTCAGGTACAAGCTCTCACTCCTCTGTGAATACAGATCTGCACGTCCCCCCCCCCCCCCAATAGCTAGCAATCCAGAATAGTCCAGTGGAGCCTGAGCGGGGTGTGGCATATGCAAATGAGTGATGCAAATGAGTGATGCCAATGAGCTCCTGCACCTCTGAGTAGCACTCCCTCCACTATGACATGCAGCAACCCAGTTCTATAACAGCTGGATTCTGGTATTGCTTACTCTTTCTGACTTCAGCTCTTGAACAATTTAGGCTTTGGAAAGCCAAGTGCTCTAGAAAAATAAATACAGCTTCTATCTTCAAGACACAGATTACAGCAGTTGTGATGCTGATATATATATATAATATATATAAAATCATTTTTGCCTTTCCTTTTCATATTACAAAAATTGTTTCAGTCTGTTCAATGTATTCAGTATGTTCAGTATCGCACCATCAAAGCATGGGCAGGTTCACAGGGCCTGAGGGGCCAAATTTAGCATTCTGATCCGTGCAAGCGTTGCATTTTGCAGAAGGCACCTAGCGGAATCTTCGGCCATGAAATTCGTTTGCATGATAAAGACCCTTGTTACAGAAATACGTGCTAGAGTGTCACTCTGGGATTTGGTTTGGACATAGGCCTTGCCTCTTGAAAGCTCTCTGATCTGAAGGGCTGCTGTTTCAAATGGCCTCCTTATAGCCCTGCCTGTACTGATAGGAGATCCAAGTTCCCTTTAAGCCACTGTGTACCACTAGCGGATATTTGGAGTAGTACATTCATGGTAAACATGGCACCTGGCAGAAGCAGTTGAGATATATGGCACTCTAGTCAGGAGCAAGAAAGCCTGTAGGCCTGGCTATCGCACAGAGAAAGGCCTACCCTCCACTTGGGGGTGCCAGCCTCCAGGTGGGACCTCGGGAACCCCCAGAATTACAGCTTATCTCCGAACTACAGACATCAGTTCCCCTGGATAAAATGGATGCTGGGAGGGGGAGATGGGTGTCCCTTGCTCTATGGCATTGTACCTCACTGTCTCTGTCCTCCCCAGGCTCCACCCCCAATTTTTCTAACCTGGATCTGATGCTCTTACCCCCCCCATGCCCCGCTGGTAGCCGAGGGGGGGAACTGGCAACCCTACCTCCAGTATTAGCCTACTCCTTGATTAGACAGATCAGAGGCGAAACTACAGAAGGCACCTGGGGCTGCATAGACACTCAGTATGGCTCTCACAGTCCGGGCTTGCATTCTTGCCCCAAAGGTTGGCTGTCGCCGATGTCAAGCATTCTGTTCACCGGATGCAGAAACCCAGCGTACATTTCCTGCCTCCACTTTCTCCCTGCCTCTTATGTCCCCCCCCCCATCAGCTATTAGGTTCTCAGCCCTTGTGGCGCAGCCCCCCCCGGCTATAAAGCCGTGACACTCGAATCAATTTGCTTCGTTTTATCTGCCGTAAGGTCGTTCTCTTCGTCCGCCAACGAAACTGGGTTGTCGTGCCCTTGCGTGGCTTTGGTCGGCTTTTCTTTTGCCGCAGGGTCAGCATCCCCGCCTCGACAACACTTGCAGCAGCAGCAGCATCTCCCGCACGCAGATGTCATGGACGTGATGACGTTATCCCAAGGCCGCAAGGAGTGCATCCATTTGGGGAGGAAGTCCCAGCTCCGGAACGTCTGAGGCAGCCAGTGGGGCTGTTTGGCTTGCAGCACGTTGACGACGAAGACCACGACCAAGAGAGCCAAGATGGGGACGCAGATGCCCACCAGGTACTGCCAGCCGGCCATTGACAGGGCAAAGACCAGTAAAGGAACGAGGAGGAAGCAGACAAGAAGGTAGAAAATGGCAAACCACCTGTACTTGGCTGTGATGTTCCCCAAGCCTTTGGCCAAGCGGATGGGGAGGCGCATGAAAGGGATCGGGTACCAAAGGATGATCCCAGAAATGTTGAAGAAAAAGTGGCACAGGGCGATCTGAAAGCAAAGAAGACCAAAGAAAGACCAAAGTCAGTTTCTTTTTCAAACAACGTGCAACTTTAAATGCAATTACCTGTGCTTTTAATTTTTTCATACCCTTCTTCCTTCATTGAACCCTCGTCTACGGATCCACCCCAGATCACATGGATGACATCTAATTCTATGACTGGATTGCACTGGCCTGGGTGGCCCGGGCTAGCCGGATCTCGTCAGATCTCGGAAGCTGAGCAGGACCAACCCTGGCAAGTACTTGGATGGGAGACCACTCAGGAAGTCCAGGGTCGCTAGGTAGAGGCAGGCAATCGCAAAGTATCTCTGTTCAGCTCTTGCCTTCAAAACCGTACGGGGTCGTCAAACGTTGGCTGCAACCAGATGGCATTTTCCGCTACCACGGTGACTGGATCGCCCTTAATTTTTTAAAGTTACAAGCAGTCAGCAGGGGAACAAAATGGGATGGGGTCACAGGGCTGGTAGAGAGGGAAAGCCTTCCCGCTATGTAAGTTTCCCAAACCAGATTCCCAACAAGCTCCAACACCATGGGGGGAAAAACACTCAAGTCATATGGCACCTGTATGTGTTCCCCTGCTGGGTAAATAGCAGCTAGTGAATTAAATCAGGAAAACAAAATATGAGAAAGGATTCTTCCTCTTCAATGAGTGCAACAGCCCCATCCTCCCTGTACCATGGGAGATCCCAGCAGGGCCAGTTCTCTGACGAAAGAGGAGGAGGAGGAGGAGAAGGAGGAGACTGGATTTATACCCGGCCCTTCACTATCCGAAGGAGTCTCCGAGCGGCTTACAATCTCCTTTCCCTTCCCCTCCCCACAACAGTCACCCTGTGAGGTAGGTGGGGCTGAGAGAACTCTTGACAGAAACTGCTCCTGAGAGAACAGCTCTGAGAGAACTTGTAACTGACCCAACATCATGCCAGCAGCTGCATGCGGAGAAGTGGGGAATCAAACCCAGTTTTCTTAGATTAGAGTCCGTGCTCTTAACCACTACACCGAACTGGTTCTCATCCAAACAGCTGCTCCGGGCAGCACGGTGGGGGGGGACATGCATCGCAGGGGGTCGGCCATGTCCCCCCCTTCACAGGAGCACAAATGCTGGCTGATATCCCCTCCTGAGCCTGTGTTGCCACCGGCTGGGTGTCAAACTCGGGCCTCTTTTGCCATATGTTTCTTAACTGCCTGTCTTTGGTATCTGTAAGCTCACTGCCTTGTTTCACTCTGGCTGGGAATTGGGGGGGAGTGTGTGAGTGTGTCTGCGGGGTTGCTTTGCTGAGAGTCACGTTGGCTTGTAACTGCATCCATGCAGGACCTCCCCTTGGTGGGAAGTATGCATGCTTGACCTTAAGTACCAGACACTCATGCCAAACACTGCTAGATCATGTAACCATAGATTTGCAGGTGTTGTAGGAGGGCGGCTGGTGTACCGTAGATTTGGCAGGCTGGATGTATGGGTGTGATTGGTCTGGTCACTGTGCAGGGGATTGTTTGAATTATGTATGATTGGAGAACTGGCGCTGAGGGAGTCATTTCTGACACAGACTCGTCTATCCTTGAAACCTCTTTACCTCTCAATAAACAAATCACTGCCAAGAGAGAGTTGTTGGGAGTGAGTTCCTTCAAGACCTGACACTGGGTTCAAATCCCATACCGGTGTTACAGGAGCGTCACTTGGACTTAAGTGGTGGTTCCAAGAGGGGATCGGTATTCCTTGCTCAGGCAACAAAATACCTTAATCTGGCTCTAGATTCCAGCACCTGACCGTGTTTGACCTTTAGCATGATAGCTATTCAGTTAGTGTCAAGTGCAGTTCAGCAATCCAGATTATCTCACCATTATTTCTGTATCAGCAATTGCTGGGATCTGTTTATGATTTATCTACCGGGCAGCTACTGCAAATATTGCAGCGATCTGATAACTAAGATATCTGTCTTGGTCAACAAGAAGAGCAAATCTGTATTATAAATCCAGGTGGGCAGCCATGTTGGTCTGAAGCAACAGAACAAAGTTTGAGTCCAGCATCACCTTTAAGACTAATAAAGTTTTATTCTGGGTATAAGCTTTCGTATGCATGCACACTTCTTCTTCAGATATTTATTTATTTTATTTTATTCAATGTTTAGGCTGCCCTTACCTACAGACAGGGCTCAGGGCAGCTCACACTGGGGAAAAACCATAGAGTTTTCCCTCGGATGACTGGCCCCGCCCCCAGCGTGCCTGGCATGGTCATGTCACTTCCGGGTGACGTGCACGTCGGGGGGAATGGGCCTCTGGGGCGGGGTTTCCCTGCCCCCCAGGGGGACTTGGCAAGCCTACATGGGAGGCAGACCCACACACTAGGGTTGCCAGGTCCTATCTGGCTGTGGGTGAGGGGACTCGCAATCCTTCCTGTAGGTCTTCAGGTGTGTGCACAAAGTGCATGCACCACAGTGATGTTACCTGGCAGTGATGTCATCATGTTTCCAACGTTGGGGACAACGTTCTAGGTTTTGGGCAAAACTCTATGGTTTTTTGGGCCTCAAAACCATAGAGTTTTGCCCAAAATCTAGTGTTGCCCCTGACATTGGAAATGTGATTAAATCCCTCCTGGATGATGTCATTGTGCTGGCGCTGGCAGTGCTGGGAGGGGGCTTCTCAAGGTGGGTGACCGCGGCAGATTGGGGGCCCTGAAATTGGGAAATTCCCTTGGCCCCACCAGGGGAATGGCAACCCTACCACACACACACCCAGAAAAAGTCCAAATGTGGGGGGGGGGAGATGGGTAATTTTTTTAAAAAAACAGGGGGGAACAGGAGAGAGAAAATAAAACCAACGCTGTGGAGGCAACTGCCACCAAAGCAATGTTATTTTAATCAGCACAGCCAATGAGATCTCCAGTGGCCAATCAGAAGCTGTCCTGGGCAAGAATCTCACCCACTTCCTGAAAACACTTGGTGGTGGTGGGGGTACCACATATGATGCTGGCGGGCACCACGGTGCACACAGGCAGGACCGACTTATCTGTTAGGCACCGTAGGCCCACTATACTTTTAGGGCCCCATGAAATGTTCTAATTTCTTTTAAAATCAGAAGGGGGGGGAAGCATCTTTAGGGTTGAAGAAGATGTTTTAATTTTTTTTCTCCCATCAGAAAAAATACGCAAACTCAGGCCCCACAAAAATTTATTAAATCTTGCTTAAAACAGAAATATACATTAAAGTTGAAGTATTTAAACTTATATTGAAAATAGTTTTTCAGTACTGATATTGCTATGGTGGGAGGGCCCCCCGAAGGCAGACGGGCCTGGGGCCCACGAAAGTCATAATGTGGCCCTGCCCACAGGTACCACATCGGGGATCCATGCCAGAGGGTAACCCAGGGACTGTTTTGTGATTGACTGCTTTAATATTAGTGACTGCAAGACACAATGGGAGCTCTCTGCAGTCAGAGTGAAGGACGGAAATATTTTCGATAAGCTACTTAGATAAATAAAACACGCCAGGGCTATTTTTGGGCAGGAACGCACAGGAACAGAGTTCCGGCTGGCTTCCAAGTTGGCCACGCCCAGCAGGAACTCATTAGCATAATAGGCCACACCCAACAGCAGAAACTCATTGGGATTGGCTACATTAGGGGTGTGTGGCCTAACATGCAAAGGAGTTCCTGCTACAAAAAAGCCCTGGGTTTTGACAACAAACAAGGTAAACAGAATAAGAAGCAAAAGGTGGGTGTGGCTGGATGAGCACACTTCTGGTAACATGGGGGTGTGGCCTAATATGCCAATGAGCTGTGCTGTCAGGGGTGTGGCCTAATATACTAATGAGTTCCTGTTGTTGGGTGTGGCCTATTATGCTAATGAGTTCCTGCTGGGCTTTTTCTACAAAAAAAGCCCTGAAAACACCTATTACATCCAAATTGTCTTTAAGGCAGCATATCATAAAAAGCAGATATGAATGCAAATACTAACCTGTAAGGAATACTTTAATGTGCTTCCTGGACTCGCCAAAGCCGCAAGAATGGCTGTCGTGGTGGTGCCAATGTTGGATCCCAGAGTGAGGGGGTAGGCACGCTCAATGCTGATAACACCAATTCCTGGTAAGGAACATGAAATGAAGGGTGAATAAGATCCGCATCATCACCGCCGATATAGCACTTTAGAGCAGCTGTGTTCAAACTGTGCATTATGGTCAAAAAGGAAGCCAGGTTGCCAGGGCAGCAAGACCAGGAGGGAGAAGAAAGAACAGAAGCCTCTCGTCTGGCCTCCTCCCACTTGCACCTGCTGATGTGACCTTGGGTCAGTCACAAGCTCTGGCACAGCTGTCCTTGAAAAAGAGCAGTTTATGTCAGAGCTCTCTCAGCTCCACCCATCTCACAGGGTGTCTGTTGTGGGGAGGGGAAGGGAAAGGAGTTTGTAAGCTGCTCTGAGACTCCAAGTGAAGGGCGGGGTATAAATCCAATCTCTTCTTCTTCCAGCCGGAAAATGAGAAGAGAGGGCAGGACGGACTGCCCATGGTCTCTCCTCCTCCTCTTCATCTTTGCCTGAGGCCCCACTGATTCACTTGGAGAGAGAGAAAGAGAGGGAAATTCATATTCCCAGGCAGCTGCCATATGTAAAGCGAACGTTCTATATGCAAGAATGTTCTGGAATCCCTGGCGGTCTGTTGCCTCCTGGAGTCACCAAGCTACCTGCTGGATCCAAGCTGAGTCCTGGTGGTGGACACTGGTCACTCTTTCTTGGCCCAGTCTTGGTGTGGGTTAAAGTGGAGAAGGAAGAACAATGTACAACACCCTGAACTCCCTTAAGGGAAGGGTGTAATAATAATGTGATAAGAATCACCAGCACTGAAAGGGTTTTCTCAAGACAATGAGGCCACCTCTACTTCTTATTCCCTTAGTACTGGCCTTTAGATGCAAACAAATTAAATTTCCTGTCTTGTCTTGGATTAAGAACATAAGAAGAGCCCTGGTGGATCAGACCAATAGTCCATCTAGTCCAACATCCTGTCTCACACAGTGTCCAACCAGTTCCTCTGGAGGGTCAACAATAGGGCATAGAGGCCAAGGTCTTCATAAGAACATAAGATGAGCCCTGCTGGATCAGACTAATAGTCCATCTAGTCAAGCATCCTGTCTGACAAAGTGGCCAGCCAGTTCCTCTGGAGGGCTAACTATAGGGCATAGAGGTCAAGGCCTTCCCCGATAAGAACATAAGAAGACCAGTGGTCCATCCAGTTCAGCATCCTGTCTCACACAGTAGCCAACCAGTTCCTCTGGATGGCTAACAACAGGGCAAAGAGGCCGAGGCCTTCATTAGAAGACCAGAAGAGCCCAGCTGGATCAGACCAATATAGGCTTGCCAAGTCCCCCCGGGGGGTAGGGAAATCCCTGCCCCAGAGGCCCGTTCCCTGCCGCCGGCGGATCGGGCCCGGGGGGGAACTCCACCCTGACGTGCACATCGCCCAGACGTGAAACTCTATGGTTTTCCCTCGGATGGTCGTGGCCCTGCCCCCGGCATGCCTGGCATGCCCGCATCACTTCCGGGCGACATGGATGCGGCGCGTGCACGCGGTCCAGCCACCAGCCGGGAGTCCCCCGCTGCGGCTGAATTCACACTAGACCAATAGTCCATCTAGCCCAGCATCCTGTCTCACAGAGGGGCCAACCGGTTCCTCTGGCAGCCAGTTCCCATTGTCTGGCAAAGCACTCTACCCCCTGGTCCTTCATCTGTCCTGCAGAATCTTGATTGTACAGCTACGACAATGAGACCACTTCACATATCACATTCTCAGGTGTACGCATAATATTTTCAAGTGTGCGCCTAAAAATATAAAATGTGGTTTACACTCACATGTTCATAAATTTGAGCATTGAACAATATACTCACCAGGAAAGTGACCTTGGCTATAGTTCGTGTTCAGCATATACTGAGTGGAAGTTCATCTCTGAATAGAGATCCCTTGAGAGATCTCTATTCAGCCCATTGCTCAATATGTATATATATTTGTAAATAATAAAACTGAAGAATAAAATTTAGTCTTGTTCTACGTTAAATGATGTGAGACTCTAGTCATTTATGTCGGGGATTGGGAAATTAGTCTTGAGCTACTTTGCAAGTGGCTACTGAAAGGTAAAGTTTAGAAAAGTTTGAAAGACACTGCATTCAAAAATGTTCATATACACACACACACACAGACATATACAGAATATATTATAAGAGTGATGTAACCGCAATCTAGTTACAATACACTTACCCAAGCTGCGGAGAGGGGCAAGAAAGAGATATAGTAGTTTACCTAAGCCACTTAGCAAGATCAGAATGGTACCAGTTCTGTAGTACTGTATAATACAATTAGAAAGCCCCACAAGGACTTGTGGGGGGCATCTCATTTTCCCTTCCTTCACCATTTCCTCCTTCCCTTCCCTTGAAGCCCCCATAGCTGCTCCCCTTTTCCTGCTTCTGTCTCTTACCACCTATTAGCCAACCAACCTTTATCAACCCAACCCCCATCTTCAGCTTTCCCTCCTTTTCTCTTCCCTGGCAGACTTTCCTGTGAAATCTCAGTGTGGTACCAGCCACTGGGCCAAGCCAGGCCCAGCTGCATAGTGTTGGCCCCCAGCTCCATTGCATGGTGGGTAACGACACCTCACTTACTCATATCCCCCACCCACACTATTTTTTCTTTTCCTCCTGCAACCATTCCAGTATCTTTCTATTTCCTTTCTTCCTTTTCTTCTTCCCACCTACGAGGGGCGATGGGCACCTCATTTCCCCATTTCCCCTTCCCCCATGCTATTTCCCTCCTCCTGGCAACCCACACATCTTCACCTTCCCCTGCTTCCTTCTCTCATTCATACCCAGCCACCCATCAATCTACTTTTTATTTGTCCTTCATCTTTATCTTTATATATTATTTGTTTACTTCATTGACACCCCAACTTTCTCCACAATGGAAACCCAAAACAGCTTACTTCATTCTCCTCTCCTCCACATTATTTTCAGAACAAGACTGTGAGGATTTAAGTATCCTCAGATTTGGCCATGTTGAGAATTCGATATAATGACTGTATTATTATACTGTCTCAGTTATAGATCTTATTGTTTACAAGTCCCAGCCTTCTTTTTCAGCCATATTGGCCCCACTTATGGATTTCATAAAATACCTGCATTTGAAAAAAAACCTTACCAACAAGTGGAGTAATTGCCGATGTAAAGACTGAACTGCTCTGAACGATAAAAGTCATGCCAGCTCCCACTAGCATAGCCAGGTATCCCGTGAGCCAAGAAAATGGAAACGGGAAATCTGGAAAACAGAAGCAAGGCGGGCATTGTTAGGGGAGTCAATCAGGGTGTTAAGTTCTAAAGAATGTACGGGGTTGGTATTCTTGCTCCCGTGGTGAGCTATGGGAATAGTGGTGGCAACCTATATTAGTGGCAGGCACTCAGGCCCGTAACCAGGATTTTTTAAAGTTGGGGAGGCTTTAAATAAGTTGGGGGGTACACTGCACACATCCCAAGCAAGCAGCCCCGCTCCCGCCCTTCCCTGCAACCTGCTTTAGGGTAGGGCTTGGGAGCAGGTGGAGGGGGAATCCTATCCCAGCTGCTGATCTCTCAGCACAGACAGGCTTGGGGAGGGAGGGGGAGACAGAAGCCCAGCAACTTGGGATCTCAGAGGACCAACTCAGGCATGAAGCAGGGAAGGAATCGGACCGAGAAGGAGCAGCAGCAACTGGTGACGAACGCCATAAATAAAATTCTAAAATGGAAGCTGTGGGGCCTGGGTTGGATGGGAGGTCATGGGGCCTTGGCGGTAAGTTGGGGAGCAGGGCCCCCAGGAGCCCCCCCGCAGCTATGGGACTGCAGGCAGAAGCGTTTGTGTCTGAAACTTGGAGGGAGGGAGGTGAGATAAGCTCACCTAATGGTCCCACATTTTATTTGGTGTGTTCACACACCCCAAACCTTCCCAAATGACATGTCTATACCCATCCAGTATTGCTTTTATTTATTTTTTTAAACGGACGATACAGAACTACAGATGAAAAGCACAATCCATTAGGTATGGTTCTTGCCACCTCTCCCTATTCTTTCAAAGCAATCTGGATTGGAGAAGTTCCAGATAAACTGAGGAATTTCAGACAGACGATATAATCCGGAAGAGGAACGGTTCCCAAATGGTTTCTGGTCTGTCATTTCAGACAGAACCATTTTAGAACCGGTTCCCTACCGGAATATATTTGTAATTTCAGACACAAACGCTTCTGTCCCATTTAGGAAAAGGGGCTGAAGCGTTTTACCTGTCAACCGCTTCCAAGTAGTCTTCAGTTTCCTCTCCCAGTTCCGATGCGTTTTCCCCCCGTTTTTCGCCCGCGCGGGCAATCTCCGGCTTTGTTTTTTTTGGAACGTTCACTTTATAGCGTTATAGCACTATAGCGCTATAATGGTATAACACAACAGCATTATATCAACCCCATTGGAATGCCTGGAGTGTTTTGTTATAGCGCTATAGTGCTATAAAGCGAACAAAAAGAAAAGCCGGAGATCGCTCGCGCGGGCGAAAAACAGTGGGGAAAAAGCGGTGCAGTCTGAAATGGCAAACCGCTTCAGATCCACCTCTTTACCGGAAGTGAAAAGCCATGTGTGAAATGGCAGCCCTATACCGGTTTACTCCATGACGGATCAAAAACGGCTTCAAAACGGGTTAAAAAGGGTAATGTGAAATTCCTCTCTGTGAATTATCAGTTTTTCTTTGGTTGGGGTTTTCTTTTACACTGGGGGGGGGGGGTAAATATTTACCAGTGTTGAGTGTCTTCTTGATAACACTTGCCACTTGTCCTTTGAGTACGGAATTCAGCAGCTTAACTATCAGTACCAAACACGTGCACAGTACGAGCAAGGATAATGCAAGGAGGATGATCCCAACAGCTGAATCATAAAGGGTTGTTCCTGCAAAAATATGATTGCCTAGGGAGTAGGGGAAAATTAAATTAACTGAGTATTAAAAATAGTTACAGTTCATATACTGTCGGTGAAAAAAAGTGGTTACTTGCATTTGGTTTCATTTTCCACAGATCCTAGTCCTGGTCAGTTCTTATGATTTTGGTGTTCCAACCTCACATAGTAGAAGAGCTGGTAACCTGCAGTTGTCCCAATATGCACAGTTGCCATTTTGTGTGAATAAGGCACCAGGTATAATTTCAAGCTTCAGTACATGCAAACACATACCAAAACTGGAGAATACACATTGCCAGGCTCACACAAAATGGCAACCATGTATATTGAGAGGATTGTGTGTAGAGCAATTTCCTCTTACATGTGCTTGGATTGCCAAAATTGCAATAACTGGACACCAGTGTTCCCTCTAAGCTGAGTTAGTGTGAGCTAGCTCAGTTTTTTAGCCTCTGGCTCACACATTTTGGTCTTAGCTCAGGAAGGAGGGCTCCAGAGCAAACTAATTGATGCAGCAGCCAAATCACTCGCTCACAACTTTAAAACCAGTGGCTCACAAAGTAGAATTTTTGCTCACAAGACTCCACAGCTTAGAGGGAGCATTGCTGGACACCTCTCTCATATGTACCCAGGAGGTGTTCAAATGTTGTTGCCCCCATGAAGTGCCATCAAATACCTCTTAACTAAAGTTAGTCTCCATATGGAAGGGAGGATGCCTAAAAATTATTTTGTATCTATGCACTCAAAATACACTAACACTGCACTTCCTTGGAGACTCTCTCTCTCTCTCTCTCTCGTCCCCCCCTCTGACGGCGACGTGGCTCCCCCAGCTCCCCCCCCCGCGGTTTTCCTCCAGATCTCTGAGGCAGAAAGAGGTTTGCATTTAATGAGCATGGATGGATGGTCCTCAAAGAAGGTGCCTCAGGCGGCCCTCTTGCTCGCCCTTCTCCAAAGGAGAGTAATAAGATACAGATAAGAGCTGGTGTGATGCCAGGTGTCGGACTAATAGGATCTAGGAGACAAGGGTTCAAGACCCACTCTGCCATGGAACCTGCCAGGTGAACTTGAACCACTCATGCTCGTTTCAACCTCCTGCACAGAGTTGTTAGGTAAAAAAATTGGGGTGGAGCAGAGAGGAGGCGGGGGAAGTTTTTGAGGGGGGGCGAGGGTGAGGGGCGCCAGCACCACCGGGCAGATCTCTTTAGTGGGAGGGCTTCTGGTTTTTAAATGTTAGAATCAGAAGGCAGCAGCTACATGAGGGCAGTAACTTTTGATGTAGCCCTCAGTATTTTTTTTTAATGTCTGTTAGATAGATGCATCACCACAGTGAAACCATCTTTTAAGAAGTTTGTGGGCTTTCCCACATACTCATTTTCCTCGCTAGTGTGTTCCTGTTGCCTTGGGGGAATTTTCTGCTCTGCACATGTTTTTCTCCCTCTGTCAATATTACAGTGCTTTATGTCCGGCATAAAAACCGGCGTTTTAAATTGGCAGAGAGAGATGCTGGACATACACCAGTGTAACATCAAATTGACCACTAGAGGGAGTAAGACATGTGCAGAACAGAACACCACTGCCCTGAAGGAACGGGAACTTACAAGTAAGGTAAATGAGAATGCGTAAAAGCTCAACAATATTAATTTATTTGTCTTAGATTAGGGTAGGCAGGATTTCAGCTGTGGATGAATGATGGACCACAGCCCATGCTGGTCCTCCATTACATCCCTCAACAAATAAGGTAGTGATGCACACAGTGTTAATTCTGACCTTGTATAGGCACACCTGATAAGTAAATAAGAATCAGTACAATCAGGGCTATTTTTGGGCAGGAACGCACAGGAACGGAGTTCCAGCTGGCTCCCAAGTTGGCCACGCCCAGCAGGAACTCATTAGCATAATAGGCCACACCCAACAGCAGAAACTCATTAGGATTGGCTACATTAGGGGTGTGTGGCCTAACATGCAAAGGAGTTCCTGCTACAAAAAAGCCCTGGGTTTTGTCAACAAATAAGGTAGACAGTATAAGAAGCAAAAGGTGGGTGTGGCTGGATGACCACACTTCTGGTAACATGGGGGTGTGGCCTAATACGCCAATGAGCTGTGCTGTCATGGGTGTGGCCTAATATGCTAATTAGTTCCTGCTGTTGGGTGTGGCCTATTATGCTAATGAGTTCCTGTTGGGTTTTCTACAAAAAAAGCCCTGAGTACAATTGTATCATTCATTCAAAGACAGTAGTCTTTGCTGACAGATTTGGAAACTGACAGGAGACGTACAGGTTGGGCTGCAAGGCTCTATAGTCTGAAGGGGCAGTTAACACATTACAAAGCACATGTGGCAAATACACGGATTGTCGAGTAGGTATCTGCTGGAAGTTCCACGGTCATGGAGGAAAGTGCTGTCCAAGTCACCGCTGATTTATGGCAATCCCGCAGGATCTTCAAGGCAAGCACTGAAGAAAGGTGGTTTGCCATTGCCTGCCTCCGTGTAGCAACCCTGGGCTTCCTTGGAGGTCTCCATCTGAGTAACAGCTAGGGCGACTGTACTTGGCAGCTGAGATCTGATGAGACTGGGCTAACCTGGGCCATACTTAGAATTTAGTTCCCAACCATGTGCGGATTAATTCTGATTGCGAGTATGATACGTGGGGAGAGGGGGCCTAAGCCGTCCTACCGGCACTGTTTTCCGAACCTGAAATAGGTCGAAACAATGGGGTGGGGGAAGGCTTAACAGACAACATCAGTTGATTATCCATGTGGGGAACAGGAAGACTTTGTAACTTGACCAGTGTTCCCTCTAAGTTGAGTTAGTGTGAGCCAGCTCACAAGTTTTTAGCCTCCAGCTCACAGATTTTTGTCTTAACTCAGGAAGGATGGCTCCAGAGCAAACTAGTTTATGCAGTAGCCAAATCTCTCACTCGCAACTTTAATTCTAGTAGCTCACAAAGTAGAATTTTTGCTCACAAAACTCCACAGCTTAGAGGGAACATTGGATTTCACCTTTAGTATTCATTCAGTATCTACAGGGGTCATTTCCTGCGGTACCGCACAGGAGCGGAGCTCCAGCAGTAAGGAGCCCAGGGGGCAAGCACATGCAACAAGCCCCACCCCTGCTCCCAGCAGCCCTCAGTTGGGCCACGAGGAGCAAGAAGCAGCCAGGTAGTGGCCGCCCCCCCCCCCCAGCCTGCCTTCAGGTACAAGCTCTCCCTCCTCTGTGAGGGCAGATCTGTGTGTCCCTCCCCCCCATAGCTAGCAATCCAAAACAGTCCAGTGGCACCTTTAAGACCAAGTTTTATTCAGGTACAAGCTCTCCCTCCTCTGCAAGGACAGATTTGCACGTTCCCCCCCCCCAATAGCTAGCAATCCAAAACAGTCCAGTGAAGCCTGAGCGGTGGGTGTTGACTTCTGACACACTTCCGGTGATGTCAGGGGGTGTGGCATAAGCAAATAAGTTATGCTAATGAGTTATGCTAATGAGATCCTGCACCTCTTTTTCTATGAAATGACTCCTGAGTACCTATAATTATACAAGGATTTGGGTAAGGAAGTAATCATAACAGGTGCAGTTTTTCTTACAGATATAAAGAGAATAGTGTATCTTCATAGGAGCACCAAGACTTGTCTACTGAATATTTTCTGTCGTAACATGTACTTCTGCTCTGAAAAAGCCATTTAGAATGATAAATTCTTTGACGTACATCAAGTGGTATGCTTCCTTACATTTTTTAATATACTCTGTGTTAGAGTAATTTTTGAGAGTCCAGGTTGAGTTTCCATCAAGCCAGCAAAGATCTGGAGATGTGCAGTTCTCAGGCGAAGGGACGGTAACGTTTTGTGCAATCTAGACATCAACAGATAAAGCAGGACAATGGAATCAACAATCTTGTTTTCAATTTTCCTGCAGGATAAAGGTAGGCCCGTAGCCAGGATTTTGTGGCTTGTGGGGCAATTTTTTTTCTGGGCTGAAGTTTCAGTACAGAAAGAGAAGCAATTTAGCCAACAGAAAGCTGTTACCAGGATAGATCTCTACATTGCAAGCTGTCAATCACTTTAGATGAGCGTTCTCAGCTGCTGCAAGTTAATAGCTTCTGCCAGCCTAAGCAACAGTTCTGATAACAAGCAGGCAGGTGGGGGTGATGACTTCTATAGTCCAGAAAGCTAACACTTGGGCAGAAACACTCTCTTAAAGGAGACCAGTTTCTTGACACAGAGTTAGAAGGGATCCTAGAGGTCACCTACTCCAACCCTCTTGCTCAGTACAGGAATTAGTAATCTACAGCACCTCACTCTGCTTAAAGTAGTGCACACCTTTACAAAATGTTTTAAAATGATTGAAAAAAGCATTTAGAGGAGAAATTCTTGTGGGGCTATCCCCTTCAAGAAAGAGGACAGAGCCCACAAAACCCCACCGTAGCTATGGACTTGGTTAAACCACCACAGCAAAGAGTCGGTTGCTGTGATGAAAATTATGACCCCTGCAGTATGCTGGTTCTCTTCCTCTTCCCTTTGCCTGTCATCAGGGGGTCTTTTCCTAGAAAAAGAGCTGCAGGAGCTCATTAACATATGGTATGCTAATGAGCTACTAAGCTATTAGCATAATAGCTCATTAGCATATGCAACGGCTCCTGACATCACCAGAAGTGATGTCAGAAGGGGGAGCAAAAGGGGGGGAGGCATATTCAAATGCCTCTCCTTCCCTTGACCTACCCTTTAAACCCCTTCTCACTAGAGTTGGGCCGCAGAAGGAGGAAAGAGAGTGTGTGTAGAGAGAAGGAATGAAAGAGTGAAAGAGAAGGAAAGAGGAAAAGAAAGAAAAGGAAAGAAGGAGGGAAAGAAAGAGCGAGAAGGGAAGAAGGAGGGAAAGAAAGAAAGAGCGAGAAGGGAAGAAGGAAAAGAGGTAAAGAGAGAGAAGGAAAGAAGAAGGAAAAGAGAGGAAGGAAGGAAGAGAACGGAAAGAGAGAAAGAAGAGGAGGGAAAAAAGGGCAAAGAGATGGGGGGAGGCTCTCCCACCCCCACTCCCCCAATCAAGCCTCCACCACCCCCACGGATCCCTCACTTACCCTGGGAGGCAGCGGGGGCCCTCTTCTGCCCTCCCACGGGCCGCAGCACTCCGGCGCTGGCCTTGGGAGGCGGCGGGGGGCCTCTTGTGACCCCCCCAGGGCTGCAGCACTTTGGGACTAGCCC